CTTTGTGTGGTAGACTGAAAACAAAAACCGGCTGTTGAGCGTCTTGGGTCAAACCTTTTGGATAATTATAGCTACCAGATAGCTGGAAAGAATGATGCTGCAGTGTGTGTTTATATGTCTGTCTGTCAGTATGTGATTATACCTATAGGCTAATGTGCCCCCCCAGCCGCGCCCCCTCCACATCTCCTCCAACAGAGAAACTGCCAAACAGCTGGTTGCCATGGTTGCTGTTTTCTGCGCACCAATCAGCAGGCACTTTACTGAGGGTCCAGAGAGGGGGCTAAGCCGGCACAGTCTGTTAAATAGCAGCGATATGAGCAGAGACTGGCATGGATTCAGCCATGAACAGAAAAGCCTCAAATAGAGCGGGGCTGGTTAGAAGTGTTTTATTCATGTTGTGATTATGAAATGAGTCTGCCTTTGCATTTTTTTTGTTAAAATTTTTTAATGTCTCAAACAAAATATGGCTTAATTGAAAAATATCTACTAATGTTCAAGTATAATTATCCAGACATAAAATTGCAGTTAGTTTGACCGTGTGATTTATAGTAATTATTTATTGATATATCAGTAAAACCTAACGAGAGAGCTCTAAACGCATACAAAATCACAGAATTTTAATGAATCAAATATTTGTAATGTAAGACGAGGCCTCCCTCTGCTGGCAGTGCCGTATATTTGTTGTGCACACAAGAAGAAAACACTGGATTTGTGTTTTGCCAGTTTAAAAGGCATAGCTGTTTCCAGATGTATGATACATAAAACTGTTTGTAATGAAAATAATGCGACTTTTATTTATTTTATTAACCTCAAAGACTAAATTAGGCTGTAACAAAAATAAGGTAAATAAACCCACATTCAAAATGCAGGAAGTCAGAATCTTCAGCTATTAAAGTCATTTTTGTCATATCTTTCATTTCTTTATGTTCTACAACGTAGAAAAGCGACCAAAAAGCCTCAGATTTCATTATTTTTTTTTCTCCATAACAACTCTTAATATGGTGTCTTCTGATTAGTCAGATGACTGATTAGACATGTGAAAAGTATTATGGTGTAAGTTTGACTGAAAACATAAATTCTACGTTGACCAGCTATGACAGGTCTGGAATAACAGCGTGTGCTTTATCTTCAACATTTATCGAGCAACACTTTGCCTTACCGCCACCAGATGTCAGTATAACACTTCATCTTAAGCACCCTGTTTCGCTTGCGCCTCTTTCTGCCTTCTAAACTTCTCCTTTTAAACTCAGGGTAAGTTCAGGTGGATTTACTACAAAAAAAAAAACTTTTTTCAATTAAAGGTTTATTTATATGTTGCCCAGGATCTATGTGAGGTTTATGCAGTCCGAATTAAATTAAGTCGCGTAGTTTAAAGTTTACTCATTACACATTCATGTAACTTTTACTAGTTTCTAGTTTGTTTTGCTGATCTGATACTGGTCTTCGTTGTCCCCTCCACCTGTCCGTGGGAGGGGCCCCGGTCCCGGTGTGTCTCAGGATCATTCCCTCGGGTTCCTGCCGCTGATCCCTCTCAGCTGACGTCAGGAGAAATGGCGGACCAGGATGGCAGCGACACATCTCCTCCGGAGTCCCAAGGTGAGTTGTCACCAACAGGAAACTTTACTTTGACAAAACTTTTTTCTTCTTCTTCTTAAGGGGGAATAACAGTTGTGTGAAGTACTGAAGGGTGCTTGAGTGGGTCTGTTTTTGAACACTGACTCGGAGCTAAAGAGAGACTCTGAGCCGGTCGGTCACGGGAGTGGGATTAACTATCAACCAACTCACCCAACCGGTTACTTTACGTTTACCAAACACGACTTGTTACGTAAGCTGCTGTAATATTTATTTATTTATTTATTTATTTATGTTTTACCCCTTTTTTTGTGAGTCTGTGTTGTAGCTGGTAGACATTTTGAGCTTCGGCAGACACCTGTTGCTTACAGTTTGTCACTTCGTCGAAATCCACCTTCAGCTGACGTGACAGGTGAATTAATGAAAATGAGCCGCAGGTTGTTTTCGGGATGGCATAGATAGAATATGTCTTTAGGCTACAGCTTTGTTCTCTGGCTCTCACAGGTGGATTTATATATTCTTTTGAACTTTGAGTTGGCTTATTAATACCCCAAACATGATCATTTATACTCTCGTTATTCATTTTTACAACTTAAAATGGCCACGTCGCCTTGTAAGTGCATTTTTAGCTTGTAGGTCAATGTGTGTATAATGTCTTTGGAGAAATAATACAACACATACAAAGTGTACGCCTGTCAGTTCCGGAAATGTCACCTATCAGTGATCTTGTAAAAGTATGTAAAGTATGTTGGGTTTTTTGGCTGCCAAAGGGCAGAGATCTCCCGTATCTTACACCCCTTTGCTTCACTTTTAGCCACTCCTCAAATAGTAACGATATAGCAGGTGATTCCCATTCACTCCTAATGGCAGAGCTGTAATAACTAGAGGTGGGCGGATCGACCCAAATATCGATAGTATCTGGACCAACCCGAAGTGTTGGTATCAGATCGATACTAGCATGAAAAGATCGATACTTTTTTCTGTCCAGTGAATTAAGAATTTTTTGGAAATGAAAAAAAAAATTAATTATGCACTATGAAAAATGTTTAAACTTTATTCTGTTGACTATTGCATCTATTTTATTTAAAGGCAATAGTGCACTGAAAAAACAAATGCTGACCAAAGTGCTTTAGACATGGGTACATTTACTTTCCAGGTCTCAAAAAAAAGAAAATTTCAAAATACATGAAAAGCTTAAAGATGTGTGGTGTATTATTAATTAATTATTGTGGAAAGCAAAAATCCCAGTGATTTAGTGTTCATTTAAATGTGTGTCCGTTATATAAAGCTGCCTTCAGAAGTTAAAAGTATCTGTTCATGTTAATCCACAGTGCATCCAGGCAAAGGTCGGCACCTTCACTCAGTTTTCCTTGAAAATGTATAAAAAGCAGATTAGTTTAGATGAAGGGTTTGGATAGGTGTGAGAGTCCCTTATAGCACACAGAAAGTTACATAAACAGTATTCCAGTGCTTTTATAAAGACCTGGAACCCAGTTAAGTATGCAAAGAATTATTGCTGCATGAATTACAGTAAGAGTGATTATGTTCACGTACTGCGATACAAGCAGCCCTGACAACTATATCGTAGGCAGAATTGGTGCACGGTGGGCATGACCTTCTATTGATTTGAATGAGTTGAGATTACTTGCTTTAGGATTACATAGCATTAAGCTCAGCTGTTCCATAAATGTCCCCTGCTTTGACCTAGCTTGACCTGCAGTTAGACAGCAACTAAAGCCACCAAGAGTCATACATACAGATACAGAGGATGAGACACTAAAAGAAAGAATTCATATTTTAAATTTATTTTGCAGCTCACAAAAAAATTACTGCCAATTACCTCTAATCCATGCATTGTAACACTGCACAGATTAATTAATACTTGTTAACTCTGTATTTATAAAGAGGTACTGCAGCTTTGATCCAATCAGAAAGTAAGTTCCTAAGATGTGGTTTATCTCCTGTCATTACTACCTGCTTCCCAAATCATCCTTTTTGCTGCTTTGTTCATGAGTTGCCCTGCATTCTGCCTGCACAAAAAGTTACTTCTGTGGGTGATTGCGGTGTTTTCCCAGATTCGCTGTCAGTTTGGCCATCCATCACACATTATGGGATTTTCTAGAAATTTAACTCAATACTTCTGGGTTAAATTTGCATACAACTCGGCTGTTATACTTTAATTGTACACTATGTCAAACATTATGTCATTCAGGACCCCCAACATGTCAGACCCAGGGTTAGCAATTAAACTTAACAATAAACGAAATCTTTTTTTTTTTCACTCGCTTGGTTTCATTTTACTGTATTCAAATGTCCATTCTCTTCAAATGTCTGTGTCTAACACACACATTCAGTAGGTGTGAGAAGGGTGTGTTACCCATCCTATCAGGTTAAAGTCTGAGTGTAGAATTACAGCATTGCCCCTCCTGCAGGGACAAAGATCAGATTGCTCTTTCATGAATGTGTGCGTTTGTGAAGTGTGAGCTCTCTGAGGAGATGAGACAGCAGGACTTGTCCTGAATTCCTTTATATAGTAAAGGAATAGTGGAAAAGGTAGTGGTTTGGAATTATTTTAGGAAATACTTAATGCTTTTGCTTATGTACATATAAAGTAAAAGAAACAGTGGAGTTGTAACTTTAGTGGCTATGTTGCTTTTCACAGCATGCAAGCTATCGCACTTGTTTCTCTAATCTCCATATTAGTTTAGCTCAAGGATGCATTAACAGTAATACAAGTTGAGCCTGGTGTTTGTACTGTTACTATCCAGGCCTTCAAAGTTTGAAATACTCCCCCTTTTATTTCACCCTCCCTTTCATTGCATCTGCCATATTGTGTCACCTTTTAAAGGTTCTGAATTTGGCTACAGAGCCAAGCAACAATAAAGTTGCACTGCAACATTATTGTAGATGCAGTGCAACTACAATAATGCTCCTTGGTTAAATATTGATGTGCTGCGTGTTGTTCCTTCTGCATTCTTGTGAAGCTGCAGCAACATATGAATGTTCTCGCTCATCGTACATCGCCGTGGCATCCTAAATGGCTGATGGCTCTTTAAGTGGATGGTGGGGTGGGGCTATATACCATGTGCTCTCTGTACACACCCCTTCCACAGAAGCAGCTCCTGTACTGCAATATTTGATTTGGTGTGTGCATCCCTAGTTGTGTGTGTGACTGTGTACAGCACATTAAAGCGTGTCCGTCCTCTGCTCTCTCACTTCCCATGCGTCACTGGTCCATGTGCTGCTGTTGTCAGGGAAACCCTTTGCCAGCACCGGCTCAACTTCCACCACTGGATTCGCACTGAATATTTTAACAAACCCCGCTCTCCTCAGTTACTCTGTGTTTGTGTGTGTGTGTGTGCTCTGTGCAGTCACTGCCTGGGTGATGTGATTCTTCTGACAAGTTTGCATTCACACAATAGACCTAGCAAGGGAGAGCTGAAGCAGGAGAAAAAGGAATGCAGTAAAAGTAGTGACAGCAGAGGCGGCATCTCGGGAGTCAAAAGAAGCACAATCCTTACAGCTCTCGACCAAGCCAGTCTTGTGGATTAAGTCTTCTTTTCTAAGCCAGACTGCAAGAGCTCATCCTACAAGAGACTCTCTCACTCTGTTTTACTCTCTCTATGCCATTGCAGGGAGTATGGACTTGGCTCAATGAGCTGCTCTGTTTGTCTCTTCCACGCTCTCCTTCATCCACCACATTTACTTTCCTCCATCTCCATCGCCTTTTTTCCCCTATCTCCTTACTCATGTTTCTTCTTCTCTCTGTCGCTTCTTCCTGCTGTCTTAAAGTCAGAGCAGCAACCTGAAGAAAATTGCTGTTAGCACTAGCTATTAGCTACCTACGTCTTAGAGAAGGTGGCTTTTAGGGGTGACCTCGTCCATCATCATCCTCTGGCATTCAGGACAGACCTCTTCCCCCACCTCCCATCCTCACCCAGCATCACAGGGTGGGATGGGACGGGGTTGGGTGAGTTAGGCTGGGGCTCAAGGGTTAGCAACAGGGTAGGCAATGCCAGATAGTAAAGGACGTGGGGAAAGAGGAGGTGGAGGTGGGTGTTTGCAAGGGAAGTGGAGGCTGAGGAAGCGAGGTAACCGTTCAGCTATCCCAGCACTTTTCACCATCACTGAGGAGGAGGAGGTACAGAGACGAAGAGATGCTTGCAAGAGAAAGACAAAAGGTATGGATGAAAATGAGAAAAGAAAATGAGAGCAGTGTAAACTACATTTTCTCCCTTAAATACTGTGATGTTTGCGCTGACAAAAATGTTAGTGTGTGTGTGTGTGTGTGTGTGTGTGTGTGTGTGTGTGTGTGTGTGTGTGTGTGTG